CTCTCTCTCTCTCTCTCCCTTTTGGAGTCTCTGTGATTGCCTCATAATCACATACATTATCCAATATACACACTTCCATCCAATATGCAGAACGGTTTTTGCATATTTATATAACGACTAGGTACAATATGTTTGCATATACAGATTACAATCATACACATGCACATGTGCACACGTGTATGTAAGTACCTGAATACATGCATGTGTGCATACCTATACATATATCTTTATAATATGAATGAATGAAGGAAGGAAGGAAGGAAGCAAGGAAGGAAGGAAGGAAGGAAGGAAGGAAGGAATGAAATGAAATGAAATGAATGAATAAATGAAATGAATGAATGAGTTGATGTATGTATGTATGTATGTGTGAAGATACAAAGAACTACAGACTGGTTGAATGACCATGCTGCCAGCACACGAGACTTCTTCGTTCCCGGCTTGAAGGCCAGCAATGCAACCTCCTTTGGCACATCAGCCGTATCTCAGTTGAAGCAGCAGGGAATCAGGTCGAATCGCCGGCACAGAGTTGAAATTACATGTTACGTGTATAGTTGCCTGCAAGCCACCACTTCGGATCTGCCGGTGCATTCGCATCCACGCAGCATGATGAGCCTTCTCGTCCTCGGTCTTCTCCCTCTTGCCGCTCTTCTTCGCAGGAACGTCCCCCCCCTGCGAGTCGCATTCCTCACCATCGTGATCACTGTGGGCCTCAGCCTTCGTCTCAGGTGGGGCCTCCGGGTTCTGAGTGGACTTCTGGATATGCACACCATCTGCTGTGGAAACTGCGGGCTCGTTGGGCTTCGCCTTACTTGCAACCTCCGCGTTCTGAGTGGGCTTCTGGATACGCACACCATCTGCTCTGGAAACCTCGGGCTCGTTGGGCTTCGTCTTACTTGGGGCCTCCGGGTTCTGAGTGGGCTTCTGGTTTTGCAAACCATCTGCTCTGGAAACCTCAGCTGGAACTGGCTTCGTGGCAACGGGTCCCTCCGGGTTCTCAGCGAGCTTCTGGGTTGGCACAGAATTTTCCGGGCGGGTTTGCACACCTCCCAGCATCTCATGTGTGGCCGCACGCTGCAGAGCCTTAACGATGAACTCCGCTCGCGATGCGAGCTCCGGCGGTAACTCCTTGGCCAGCTTAGCTGCAGCATCGCGGCAATCGATTGCCTCCACCTTTGATGCAGCACCTGAACCATCGTCACCCTTGCGGGGCTCTCCACCTGAGCTCTCGGATCTCTCATCCGTCTTGGTCTCTTCACCGGATGCACCATTGCTTCCGAAGTTTTCCTGCTGCACACAAAATGATAAATTTGGGTGCAATGAGAATGAGAGGCAAACGTGTTGTTTATGTCGACTGCCTTCGTCATCCTTCGATAGAAACAATCTCCGTGCACAACACATGTTCTTAAAAACTAATGTTTTTTATGTAAAGGCATAGCTGTTGCGAATATGTATGCATGTATGTATGTATGTATGTATGTATGTATGTATGTATAGACGGATAGATAGATATATGTAGACAAAAACACACACACACACATACACATTCACATAAGACAGCACGAACACGCACACACACACACTCTCTCTCTCTCTCTCTCTCTCTCTCTCTCTCTCTCTATCTCTCACTCTATATCCCTCTCTCGCTGTGTCTCTACATCAGCTATCTCCGCCTCTCTTCTTGAAATTCCTCTATTCGGGTTATAAGCATATCTTGGTGCCTCTCTCTCTCTCTCCCTCTGTCTGTCTGCACCAGTTGCAAGCAGCGGTTTGCAGAACCACTCCCCGACACATTCCTGGTAGACCTTCGCCAGCTCCAGATTTAGATCATCATCTTCCATCTGTGCTGAGCTGCTCTTCTTGAGACACTGCTCGCTGCAGTACCCCCAGTCACCCTGAAGGGACAATTAATCATATTATCATAGTCCACACAAACGTGCGACCAAACGTGAAGCAGCACTTGCATTGTTGCATTACCCAAGAAGCCTTGCAATATCCACAGCCTCCCAGCCCCATCTCCTTGAAGCAGAAGGCGCACTTGGAATCGAAGTTCCGGGTGAGGTGACCTGGGATGTTGGGTTGAGGTTAATTGGGTGTGTTGCGGTTTGGGGTGTTTTTGTGTGAGGTCTGGGGTTTAAGCCTTGCTTTCTGTAGCAATCCACATATACATCATTCTTCGTGTATTACGCTCTGTATAACTAAAACAGTTTACATACATCCATGCAACTGTATGTATGTGTGTGCGAATGTATGCATGTTTGCTTTCATACATTCATACCCATCTATACATATGTACCCTGTGTGCATGTGCAAAATTACATAGCTAGAATCGAACTCTTCTATTACTATAAACGATTTCTGGAACAACCGCCTACAACAAGTGCAAGACCAAAGCTGTTCTTCTAGCACAGCAAGGCACTGCCGAGAACAAGAGTTTCCGCAGAGTCGGCGCTCGTGAAGCTCGGGCTTGGCTCGGATGGGCTCGGGGTTGGCTCGGCCGGGCTTGGGGTTGGCTCGACTGGGCTCGGGGTTGGCTGGGCTTGGGTTTCTGGCTCGGCTTTGCAAGTCACAGAGGGCGGCTGCACCGCGGGTGCCAGGTTCGGGGCATCCTCGTCCGAAGAGAGGATCTCAATCTTGGTTTTGTCAAGAGGCCTACCCGGTTTGGCCTTGCTGGCTGTCGGCTTCGGCTTCGCAGGACTTGGCTTCGGCTCCTCAGAGAAGAGATTTTCTTCACATCCTGGGAATCCTCTTTGGATCGCTTTGGCTCAGGGGTCGCCGTGCTCGGGGTTTCCTGAGGGGTGCTCGCTTTCGTCGATGGCGTACTTGCCACCGGCTTCTTTGCCTTGGCTTCCCTGCCCCTCTTGGTCTTGCTCTGTTCCTGCAGGGGTTTCGAATCTCAGAACATGTGCATCCATAGCTGTTTCTACATCGGTATTTATCAGGATAGCTAGGTTGTACGTTTATATACATATACCAGACACACATACATGGAAATATATGTACACATATGTATAGCTAAAGCTTATATGTACCTCTACCTATTAAGATTTTTACCATATACCCAGAAAACTATTCCTTTTTCCCTTTACCTCTCTATACATTTTCCTATACCTTTTCAATTGTTCGTTTCTACCTCTACCTAGACATTTTCCTATACCTATACCTCCCTCTGTACACATATAAGTACTTACGTATATAGGTACATATTTATTTATGTGTATGTATATGTGTGTGTATATATAATAATAAGTGTAGTATATGTATGTATGTATGTGCATGCATGCATGCATGCATGCATGTTTTTGTGATATCTTTTGCTATGTACAAGTTACATGTCGAGATATGCAGAGGTTGTATGTCTGTATGTATATATATATGTACATTAATTTAAACTATATGGACGAAATACAGGTGTTTGTGTGTGCTTGTGTTTAACATCCAACAAAACTTAGAACATGTTGCTTTGGCTAGTCTGTCCTGGCCACTATCCGTCCCATTCGATGACGACAACGAGGTTTGGCTGTCAGATCGTCTGGGTTTCTTTCGGGAGGCCAGGTCTTCAGCCAAGGACTGGAGGTGCTCCGGGATGGTGGGTCGTCGGGTTTTCGATGCCATTCTAATGGCACACACAAAAGTGCACAGAAACACAAAAACGCCTAAATGCTTCAGCCAAACGAAACAGCAGTCAGGAACATGGAAGCATGTACGGAGCCTGTATGTGTGTGGGGCTTGATTTCGGTAGGGGTGCCGAGGGTTTACAATCACAGGGAGGTCGCTGGGGGACGCCGTGTGAGCCTGGAACCTGGCTGGGGAGGAGGGGCCCATCTCGTTTTCACGCCATTTCACGCGATTTCACGCGTTCTCACGCGGGGCCTTGTTTTTGAGGCCTTTGGCCCACCGTTTTCACGCAATTTCCCGCGAATTCACGCGTTCTCACGGTCCCCGTTTTGCGCTGAGCTCTACACTACCACCAAAACCCAGCCCCCAGAACAGGAAAACATCAGCAATTATAAGCCCGGAATGATGGAGTTCCGAGACTGACCGAAAGCGTCAAAGCATGATATGTATGTTTCAACCAGTGACAGCACACGGAAAGCTCAAATTACTTGTTTCTTCTTTCGCTTCTCGCTGTTGTGTCCTGTGGCAGCAGCACAAAACACAATTAATTGCCGGCACTGCCCGAACAGTTCACTGTATTGTTGGTCAGGATGAGCCACTGTCTCTCATTAGTCAACTATCCACTGTTCAAGCTAGCACACCAAGAAGCAATCGTTCAAGATTCGGGCAAGAACTAATTATTGTGGTATATAACAGTCTACGCAGAGTCAGCCACACCAGGAAGGTCGCACCCACAAGTCGATGAGCCTTAGCTTTGCCACACTCAATCGAGACTAGGTCCAAGTAGACATTCTCTTTTACAGCGTGAAACAAGACCAAGCAGCAGCTAATCCTGTAACGGTAATTCATGTAATGGCTGAAAGTGACCAGCATTGCACTCGGCCATCAAGAAGTCTGCAATCTCTTGAAGTCCAAGATCAGACCAGTCCTTGGATAAGAGCCATTGTCGAATGATATTGTACTATGTGGGATTCTTGTTACGGTATTACTACTACTACTACTACTACTACTGCTACTACTACTACTACTACTAGTTGTAGTAGCAGCAGGAGCAGCAGCAGCAGTATGCAGTAGCAGCCACAGTTGCAGTAGCACACGGTGTCGTGCAGTTTCGACTTACAATAAAATGTGTATAAATATATATAAATATACATATATATATATACACAGTAGATCAACACATAGTAATACAGCCAGTATGGCCCAACGTATTTTCAACCGGAAGAGGAAGCTGCTACTACTATATTACTATAATATATGATCTGAGTTCGAGATGAAATTCATACATATGTATATATTGAACAGATATCTGCAGTATATATAATACCCCCCAAACCTAATGATGTAAACCCAACCGACTCAACGGACTATCAGCGCGAAACGAAGCTGCCGTGGCATTGAGGGCACACGTAACACCCAAGGCCCAAAACCCAAATTTAATCCCAACCCCGAGCCCCGAACCTTCGATTCGCCTCTATTGTTCCGAGTTCGCTGTTGCCATGCAGTTGCATTCGCAACCATGCGGAAGCACAAAAATCTAAACCTTGGAACACGCATCGAATGATCGCGAATTATAGTATAGTTCTTGGGATTCGGCGCACGATGTGTTTAGGCTTATGGGTTTACTAGGGTTTAGGGTTTTCGTTCCTGGTCCTTCAGCAGATCGCAGCCACCATGATCATCGCACAAGCCTCCATGATTCACAAACTTTTTTAGCCTGCAGCAACTTCAGTCCATTTGTTGGTGTCATCAAGTCGTCGTCGTAGTAGTAGTAGTAGTAGTCGTCGTAGTCGTAGTCGTAGTAGTAGTAGTGGTAGTATAGCAGTAGGGGTATCAATGGCCGTAACCGTAGCAGCAGCAGTGGCAGCAGCAGTAGCAGTAGTAGTAGCAGTATACGTAAGCAGCAGGAGCAGACTACGTTATACTACTACTACTACTACTACTACTACTGCTACTACTACTACTACCACTACGACAACAACAACTACTACTGCGACTTACTACCACTATAGCTACTACTAGCACCACAAGTTGTAGTAGCAGGTACTGCTCCCAGAAGTTGTGCACTAGTACTCGCACAGGTACTAGTGGTAGTGGCAGCAGTAGTAGGAGGATAGTAGCAGTAGTAGTAGCACAACAAGTAGTAGTAGTAGTAGTAGTAGTAGTAGCGTAGTAGTAGTAGTAGTAGTAGTAGTAGTAGTAGTAGTAGTAGTAATAGTAGGCGCCCCCTTGCGCACCTGCCAACCACCTCTCCTAAACACTGTTTCAGAACACATTCATTTTACTTGA